CATAGAGTAAAGCTTTCCCCAGATGAGGGTTTTTGCCTCGCAGGGCTCCTTCAGGCACCGTCTCATACAGCAGGGTGTACTGAGTGACAACACTTGGTTTCCATTGACAATGAACAGGCAGCTGTTGCTGACCCTGGGATTTGTCTCTGTATGTGCTCAGTGAGTAGCCATGATATGGATCAATTGTTCCCTGGGCCATACCATACCTCTCCAAAAAATTACAAAATCCATTCAATCCTCTTTCAGTTATGCTGTGAACGAATAAAGCAACAAATGCTCAAAAACATAACCCCCTGCCCTTGGAAGAAGTAATACTGATACCCATGGAGAGGAGTCAAAGTCACCTAACTGATTCAGCAATGTCAGATGTACAAATTTGCTAACATAAGCTAACATTAGCCACTATGAGCTAAAATTCATACCAGATTAAGTAAAGTTGTATCAGAAAATCCCCTAAGTGTGCTAAGCTGGGCAAGGCTGCATTTTGTTGCCCATTAATTCTACTTTTTAATTGTAATATGAAGAATTTTTTCCTTCTTTCAAAACTTTCTCATTTTCAAAAATGACATTTCTTTAAATCAAGAGGCAGTACAGCTGCCTCAGTCACTCCTGTTGCCACTTTCATGGCTTCTTTAGTCACTAACTTTCAGGTTCTGCCTCATGACATTCCCATTTTTAATCTTGCTTACCAGGCTCTGATTGGCTGAGTCACTTTTCCGCAGGGGAATGGGCCTCAGTCAGAGATGTTGGAAGCAATTCAGACCTAACATTTGGTGAACTGTGCATCCATGCTTGAGTTTTGACAGTTTCTTTTTTAAGTCACATATGTCAAACTCAAGGCCCGCGAGCCAGTCATTTTATATATCTTTTTTTTTTTTAATGGCCCAGCTCGGTGATATGAATCGCCGATAACACACAAACTACAAATCCCATAATGCAGCGCAACAGCTGCCTTACCGAATGATAGGCTACCCCGATCATTCCCACGTCAATTACGTCAGATCAATCAAGCGTCTGTTGATGTATACAACCCTAATTTCAAGTCAAAGCTAGCCCCTAACAATGGCCAAGAGAAAAGTTGATTCTGAAAACAGAGCCTTTCAAAACCGCTGGGAGGCTGAGTATATGTTTACTGACATTGCCGGTAAACCCGTGTGTCTTATTTGTGGAGATAATGTGGCTGTAATTAAGGAATATAACCTAAGACGGCACTATGAGACAAAACATCAAAACAAGCTGAAAAATGTGAATGCAGAGCAGAAGCTACAGAAGGTAGAGGAGTTGAAAAGGAATCTGACATCACAGCAGACGTTTTCACCAAAGCAAAATCACACAGTGAAGCTGCTGTGAAAGCAAGTTTTATTGCGGCAGAGGAGATAGCCAAATCAGCCCGGCCATATACCGAGGGAGAGTTTCTGAAGAGCTGCATGATGAAAGTGCGCGACGTCTTGTGTCCAGACAAAAAGCAGGTGTTTGCAAATGTAAGCCTTAGCAGAAATATGGTTCCTAATTTTAAGTTCAAGTTTATTTATTTTTTCCAGGTGTCACTGTCGGACTGTCGGTGAGGCCATGGAGAAGGACTATCGGTCGGCCTCGAAGAGATTCTGGCAAACCGTCCGGCGCCTCAGGAGGGGGAAGCAGTGCCCTGCCAAAACTGTTTACAGTGGAGGTGGGCAGCTGTTGACCTCAACTGGGGACATTGTCGGACAGTGGAAGGAATACTTCGAGGATCTCCTCAATCCCGGCGCCATGTCTTCCGATGAGGAAGCAGAGGCTGAGGGCTTAG